AGGTAAATGATCTGACCTGACCTTCCGGTGATCTTGACACCCACCCTAATGCATGGGAGCTACATCATATCCCATGTTTGAACGTTTGAAACCACGAAAAGACTGCAAACGCGCGGCTAATGCGAGGCGACATACGCCGAATCGCGACCTCGGCCAAACATGGTGCCATGGTGCTAGGCCGCCGGTGCATCTGAAAGAACTGTGGTGCCCCTGACAAGCCTGAAGTTCCAACGATAGGCCCGTGGTGCCCCTGACAGGCCCATGATGCCTTTGCGAGGCCGGTGGTGTCCACGTGAGGCCGGTGGTGCCCCTGGGCCCTGAAAGGACTGTGGCGCTCCTGACAAGCCTGGAGTGTCCCCGACAGGCACGTGGTGCCACTAACAGGCCCAAGGTGTCCCAGTCCCTGCGAGGCCGGTGGTGTCCCTGCCAGGCATGTGGTGTCCATACTAGGCCTCTGGTGCCCCTGACAGGTCCGTGGCGCCCTTGCTAGGCCTATGGTGCCTCTGGCAGGCCTATGGTGCCCCTGGCGGGCCTGTGGTGGTACCCCTGACAGGCCCAAGGTGGTGCCCCTGCGAGGCCGGTGGGGCCCCTGGCAGGTCTGTGGTGCCCCTGGCAGACCTATGGTGCTCTTGCTAGGTTGATGGTGCTCCCAACAGGCCTGTGGTGCCCCTGACAGGCCGGTGATGCCCCTGGCAGGCCTGTGGTGTCCCCGGGCCCCAAGAGGGTGGGGGGTCATGACCCATATGACCCACCCTTAGATACACCACTGGTCATTACTTACAGACTGACTCATTTGACATCCATTGCAAAACAAGTCACAGTAGTTACGTAGTATGTTTGTCACCCTGTTCCTTTATGCCCATTTTTATAGTGGGCAAATCTCGACGACTAGGGGGCAATTCTGTTGAGTGCGGGGGCATTTGCCCCCCCAGTTAACATATTAAAATAGGCCCTGCCATAACTAGCACTATACAAATGTCATATTACTTGGTAATGCATTTTGTTAGTTTATCAAGTTAAGAGTAGCCATTACATAACTCTAAGGGCATCACCATGTTATAACTCCCCTACTGAGAAAAGGACATAATGCATAGGTACCCAGTGATACTTAAGGTAAAGTAAAAACACATCCAATCATTACAGGGACTTAACATGTTTTCAAGTTATCTTAAAAATCATATACATGATTCTACAACTTGGACCTTTAAATACATGCAAACAAGGCATTGCAAAATGCAAACTCTTCAGATTAGAAACATGCCATAATTCATATTTATAACAGACACCTTGTGAAGGATCACAACTGGGTCTAACACTGCTTGAATCCATCATAGTTGACAATATCCTCAGTGAAACACATCATTGCCAGCATGAGCTGTGACACTTTATTCTCATTAGCTGCAACATTTTCTACTGATGGAAGTTTTAGGGAGATCAACTTGAAAGAGGCTGCCTGCAGGATGTGAAAATATAAACATTATCTTTCTGATGAATTTCAAAAATTAATAAACAATAATCAAAGGGATATCCATGCATCAATGATAACACTCTTCCCCCCTCCCCAAATGACCAACATTTTATATCCTAGAGCAGCCAAAAACAGCATAAGCATAAAGCAACTCCTCACTGTACTATGCATCCTAATCTCTAACTGAACCAGATAAGGGTATCATCATATTGAATTCAAGGCAGTGATCTGATAATGGCTATGTTAGAGTTACATGTAAGTTGACATCTAGCATGGGTATTGACTTTTCCTGATAAATATTTGGTAAGTGCCTATCTACACCTTTTGTCAGTTAAATTCGGTGCGTAATCGTCCATTTTAGAACTAACGGAATGTGTGTAGACATACCGCAAAATTATGTACAAGAATCACATAATATCTCGGCGCAGGTTAGGCTGTCGGCGGTAAAGCATTCAATTTCGGCACAGCGGCAAAACGCTCCATTTTCGGCGATAGCGCGAGTAGAATCGGCTGCGCCAGCATAAGTTTAGAGGTAGCGCACGCTATTTAGCAGCAGTAAGAACCAAATTCGGCACTGTTCATTCAATTTCGGCGGGTAACCGGAGGCACCCAGATGATTCATATTTTCGGGAACGCTTCTTTAGCATCAAATGAATCCTCATGCAGCTTTGTAGCTTTGAGATATTCTCAGGGGGAGAAAAGCAGGCCATTGCTTGTTTAGCGTCACAGTACCTACCGATCGTTTCGCTGTTTCCCGTTTCGAATTCTGATGTGAAAATTGATAAGCTTTACTGAGTTAGTACTATTTATCCTAAACAAATAACATCTGTGGGCTGGTTTCTTTTTTATTACAGTACCCGCTCCTGTCCGCACATCGTGGACGACGATCGACAAGGCAAACACCAATCGTTGTTGGACTCGAGGCATACCCCGATTCTCTTTCATTGAACAACGTCTGTGCTGTGTGTTCCAAGTTTTTGCCCAACACATGAACCCATTTTATCAAAAGACGTGTTATTTTACTTCACCTTGAATGCAGCCCATCACCTCGTCAATCACACATAACACAATTATCTCCACCATACCAGAATGAGTCCTACCAATCGGTTATCGTTGCACTTCCTGATCATCTCCATTCTCCAATTAACCAATTGCCAGCGTGAAACATCAAACATCCCTTAGTCCTACTGTGTGCAGAAGGACACGAAAATAAACTCAGCATCCCGTATCGTATCACCTTGCCTCCCCTCACCCCGCCCTACCGCCATGAACACCACCAGAGGCTTAGCGTCATTATTCTAACCCGTCCCATGGACAAGACTCGTAGTTGCGGCAGGTGTATCTCCCCCTCCCCCTTCCACACATCAAACAGCATCTGACCGTCCATCCGGCGCTCGGCGCATCCTTTCAACAACCGCGCGACGACACAGGGCGTCTCTGGCGCACGGGCGGGGTTAAAGTTCAGTAGTCGCGTACCCTGTCGGCCTGGTTTTGTTCTCCGCCGCCTTCGTTTTAAGCAGGTGCCTATGCACCTATGTAAGTACTTCCTTGGTAGAAATTAATAGGTACATTGTAATGTTTTGATTAACCCACATAAAGCACGAACATGAAATAATGCTCATCGCTGGCGATTGCGAAAGGAATATTCGGCGATAAAGGAGAGGGTAGAGGGCCGAGGGCATGCACATTGCACAAGTCCAGACAGTGAGACAGTGTCAACAGTAAACACCTTGAAAAGCGTTTGACTTAATAACAATGCTCCAACAAACTTATTTTGTAAGCGAAAAGTCTCTGCCTGCTTCCAAATAGCCGCTGAAATTGAATGAATATCGCCGAATTTGGTTGCTGCTGTTCTAAATATCGTGCGGCCGTCTCCAATTTCCAGCGGCATCGCCGAAATACAATGCGGACACGCCGGAACCGGGCGTCTTTTGCTGCTGCGCCGAAATTAAATGCTCTAATGCCAATCATCGCTATAAACGGCCGACAGGCAATGCTATACTGATACATAGCTTTGCGGTTTGTCTACAAATAATCCGCTAGGTCTAAAATGGACGCGTACGTACCGAAATAAACTGACAAAAGGTGTAGAACTTAACCCTATTCCTGGCGGGCTCCGCCGGGACAAGAAACTGGCGGGGGGGGGCCGATTCGGCCCCCCCCCCCCTGAGATCTCGAGAACGAAGCAAGATAGCGACAAGCGGTAAACGGCATCGGATACGCACGGCCAAGATCTACAATTTTTACTAAGGTCATTTTCAGGTCAGGTCAAAGATGACGTCACAGGGGTCGAAAAAGTCAAAATGGCGGCACTAGATATGGAGAGAGTTTTTCTCGAATAACTTTCGAATTAGTCAAGATAGGAACAAACTAAGGGCATCATCGTGATCCTCTGGTCAATCCGCATCGAATGATATATATGTTGACCTCGAAAGGTCAAGGTCAAAGGTTGACCTCAGGTCACGTGACCTCGAGGTCATCATGTATATCATTCGATGCGTCTTGACGAGCTGAACACAATGAGACCATCCACGCGTCTGTATCTTGTTCCTGTACAGAGTTATTGGCCAAAAACCTTTGGTGACCTTTGATGACGTCACATGACCTCACAGCTGCCCAACAGCAAAACAAACCTCAAGGTAGTGAAGGTTGATCGTATATGAAGTCATGTATGGTATATGGGGCCATTCCGACCCGTTTTAGTGGTAAAAACAGGGAGTTGATTTTTCCCCCATTGACTTATAATGGGGAGGTCGCGAAATTGAACTGACCTTAGGTCACCGATATCAAAATTCCGAGATAAACAAATTGCACATACTGGTACCCTAACTAAACCCTGAAGAGAAGAAATTGATCGGTCAAAAACTCTAGCTCTGGCGTGATTGCAAACTTTTCTGAGGTAGCGTCACCAAACCGCCTCTGGTGACCTGACCTGAGGTCAGATCAACTCAAAATTTTCAGACATGTTGCGTAGAAGCCTTTTAGGAAAAGTCAGAAAATTTGAGCTTCCTAGCTCAACGCGTTTGGGAGATATAGCCAAAAAACCTCAGGGGGGGGGGGGCTCCTGAGGCCCCCCCGCCAGGAATAGGGTTAAGTTTGCATGTTATATGTAACACCTAGTATATTTAATTTTTCATTAAGTATTAGGTAAGTGCCTTAAACTTTAGTTTGTTTGCTTCACACAATCAATATAGCACTGAAAATATATGTCACTTAAGACAAATGTGATGTTATACTGATACCTTATAGAACATGCTGAAGCTATGAAAAATCACAAACTGGTAGCTCCAGCAGTAACTGGTGGAACGGGATTCAACATGTCATTCTACAGTATCAGCAAGCTTAAGGAAGGCTAGCTTTAAAAGCTGAAAAATAGCTGACAAAACAAATGCCCCTACTTTTACGAGCAAAATTATGTATAAAGGTACCTACCGCAGGGCGCAGAGCAAGATTGAAATAGCCATTTCCTCAATAAAATGCATCAAAATAATTCCATGAAATACAAAATGCAAAAACAGAATGGATTACCTACCTTTACGATTCACTGCTGAATTCATGCCAGGCATGGCGATTCCTTATCCTTTGTCTGCGCGAGCACAGCAACAGGAGGGAGAATTAGCACTGCGCACAAGCTGGGCTCCTTTTACACGAAAAGTTTTATGCACACAAGTGCATCACAAATCTTGTGCCCGGTATGACAGACGTTAAAAGTTAATAACAATTTATTTCGCCTCAGTTTTCCACCGTATCGCGCTACACCTCAGTCTCACACATCCACAACCCAAACGCACGCTCTCCGCTTTCTGTCCGATCTCCGCACTTCGCTATTTGCTGCCGTCTATCTCCAGAAGCAAATTTGGCAGCATGACGTCACTGGCTTTCAAAACAAGATCAGGCTGCTAATTTATTGTGTAAAGCTCGGGCCATTGTGCACGGCCTTCCTTGTATTGCTTGAGAAAGTTTGTGCCAGTCAATTCTAGAAAACCAAAATTTTCTCACATTTGCTTTCGCTTACATGTCGTTTAAAGAGTTTCGTAGTGATTGATCGTTGAAACTTGTACACTTTTTGCCCAGGTCATTTACTTTTCATGTTCTGGGTATAATACAACAATGCCTGTGCTAAGTGCTCCATTTTCATCATATCTTTTTTATCGTTGATGTTGTATATTTTTGGTTCAGTTCTTTTTGAGGAATATGGACAGCATAATAATAAGAAAGTAAGTTTTGGTAAGCAATAAGGCGTTCATCTCTATTATAAAGAATGTTATTAGCTACGCTCATTTTTGACACAGTTTTCCTCAGTTGTAGTGTCCTTTGCTTTGAGGGACTTATTTTAGCATTTGAACATAATCCTTCACAAGGAAAATTGATCAAACAATTAACAAACTTACCTAAAAAGGACTTCAATTTCTGGTGCTTTTAGCTCAAATTCAGAGATATTACGTCATTGCTACCAAATGAAACAGCTACGATTTTTTACCTCTTGTAAATTTGTTTCAGCTGATCAAATGCGGCATATCTGAATCTCTTCTAGAGTTCAGTGATCTCTTCCAGGCCCATGTCACTCCACTTTTGATGACATCATATGGGGGCCTCAGGACAATAATGGCGCGGCGCGCCACAATCGCTTCAAAGCTACTTGCCAACAGTTGCCATTTTTGAAAATATTATTTTGAAATAAAGTTCCAAGTAATAAAAATATTGTAATAAAGTTGTTGAATAAATCGATACCATGTCTAAAAACTTACTGAAAAATGATTTATTCATAGTAAAAATATAAGCTCGATGCGTTTTTACGTTGCTTTCCTTCAACTGCAGAGGGTTTTTAAATCGTCTATATCTTCAAAACCGGCCATTTCTTAGCATATTGCTGCTCTTTTTTATCGCTAGAAAATTAGTTGGAATTTTCAATGACATCAATGGTTGAGCGATATGTGTAGAGTGTCACCAACAATCTTCAAATGAAGTTAGCCATTTTTACGTTGTAAAGGAATGGAGTACCCCTATCGAGCATCAGTGGTGACGTCACTCAGGATCTGTCTCTGATTGGTCGGCGGGAGAGTGACTGTACCTTCTATAGATGGCCTTGATCTCTTCACACATTTTCATCTTTGTAAATCAGTAAATGAAATTAGGTACATGAAAATTATTGCCTGCAGTTTTTGGTGGCTGCAGGCTAGTGGATGCTTGTATTTTGCTAGTTTTTTTATTTATAAATGAATTTCTGAGATCTGATCATTTCATACTCCGTTATCAGTGGGATTTTTGTACCAGCCAGCCCTAATTTTCAGCAGGGTTTGTCATTATACTTTGGCTGAAGCTTGAGCGTGTTCCAAAGCTATAAAAGCTTTTTCCCAGGGATGCGGAGCCGTGGAAATTTCAGACGGCTCCGGCTCCGGCTCCGACTCCGGAGAAAAAAATCGGCTCCGGCTCCGGCTCCGGCTCCGGGTGAAATGTTATGGCGGCTCTGGCTCCGGCTCCGGCTCCGAGTAAAATGGTCCGGCTCCGGCGGCTCCGGCTCCGACTCAGTACATCCCCTATGCAATCAATTAAATACGGATGGAAGAAACATTGGATTGGTACACGTTGCTTCTGTATTTGCATAACAACTAACAACCAAGGCTATTTTTCTCAACAGGACTAGGAACAAAGGACTAGGAAGCGATGGCATTGGAAACGCAGTCGCCGCGAATCGGAGTTCACTGAACCATCGTAAGCTGACACCCGTCTCGGCTACATTGGGGGGTGGGGGTGGGGGTGGGAAGAGACGGTGCTGGGAGTCGCAGTCCACTGCACTGCTTCAAAACAATGGCTGTCACCTGATGACCGGTCCTCATGTTTTGGGGATGCAGTAGACGTGGGGGGGGGGGAGGAGCAGACAGGAAGTTGATTGCGTACTGTGGGATACTGGGGATATTCGGCTTTTTTCATTCACTTGATGGCCCATGACGTACTATTGGTCTCAAGATAAGGGCCCAGGCGACCTGTAGTTTTGATGCGGTGAATACCATTACCCTCGCCACAACTCGGGCCGAGTGCACCCCTCCTCCCAGCCAGCGCCACCCCCACTCGAGTTGTGGCGAGGGTGAGGGTACTCACCGCATCAAAACTACAGGTCGCCTGGGCCCTTATCTTGAGACCAATAGTACCATATGTTTTACTGCCTTGTACTGTCAAACCGAACTAGGTCAATTATTTTTTTCCTCTTCAAAAAATAAAAAGGAGCCGGAGTCGCCCCCTTTTTTGGCGGCTCCGGCTCCGGCTCCGGCTCCGGGCTATATTGTTTCACGGCTCCGGCTCCGGCTCCGGGCAAAATATGCCGGCTCCGGCGGCTCCGGCTCCGACTCCGGCTCCGGCTCCGCACCCCTGCTTTTTCCTTTTCAGACATATTTATTTCCAGGTTTATTCCTTTTCAGGTGATAAGAGGCTCCAATTTTAATTGTTCTCACCTGATTCATCCTCACCAATCACCATCCGCATCCTCGCGCTTCCCTTTCTGAATTGGTGTCAACCACACCACAGGTGAATACAGGCTCATACCTGGGTGGGCTCTCTAGACCCTAGGCCCTCTCCAAGGTGGCCTTTTTTACCAGCCACGTCAACATGAAAAATGGCTAGTGACACGAAACTTTTGCTAGCATCCTTACTGACATGTTTCATATCAGTTGGGGGAGGTTTGGTCAATGGTTGTCATTTTTAGCACATGCCATTTTTGGCAACCATGTGCTAAAAATGACAACGCTATCAGCTATTTTTAGCAACGATGAAGCCGATTTCACTCCTCAGCGAGGAAATCACGATTTTGGAAATACAAGCACTGATTTTGGAAAAGAAGTGCTGCCACCTGGTGCAAGAAGAAGAAACCAGCTTTAATATGGCCGTTGTTTGTATGGTAGTCCAACGTTGAAGTATACCCTTTTTTGTGGCCCGAAGTTGGAACTTTAAATTGAAGCATCCGAAAATGATCGATATTGATCGAAATCATGATGTTGATGAAAAAATAATATGTTAAGTTGAGAGAGGAGGCCATTTTATCCAGATGCGGTGGTTTACTTCTTGAAATTATTTTTGCTTACGACGACTGCCATGTAATGAGGGATAATTAGCAGCCGTCATTAGCAAAAATAATTTCAAGAAGTAAACTACTGCAGCTGGATAAAATGGCCTCCTCTCTCAACTTAAAATATTTTTTTTCATCAACATCATGTTTTCGATCAATATCGATCATTTTCGGATGCTTCAATTTTAAGTTCCAACTTCAGGCCACAAAACAAACTACCATACAAATAACAGGCATATTAAAGCTGGATTCTTCGTCTTGCACCAGGTGGCAGCACTTCTTTTCCAAAATCAGTGTTTATCTTTCCAAAATCTTCATTTCCTCGCTGAGGAGTGAAATCGGCCTCATCGTTGTCAAAAATAGCAGAATCGTTGTCATTTTTAGCACGTGTGACAAAAATAGCACGTGCTAAAAATGACAACGATTGACCAAACCTCCCCCGACTGATATCTATATTACTATTTGAGGAAGGCGTAGTTTCTGTCTATTACGAAGGTCGCGACATGGTGCTACGTAGCGCGGGTTACAGATCACACCGTTGCACCTACCGCGCTGAAATTTGCGCAAGTTATAGAACAAGGATGGACAACGTGCCTTTGAGCGGTCTCGGTTCGATCGGATCGATAGCGAGCGCGTGGCGCGTGCCCAAAAAGTGCAAATTCGCGTCATAGACTTTACATGTATAAATCGGCTGGCAAAAACGGGCGAAAATGGCTAAATTTGCCCGACACGGGTCCGTTCCCCGTGCAATATCTCGGTAGCCGTGCGCCCGATCGGCACGGGGAAAACAGCATCGTGTAGAGAATCGAACGGGCAATCGAATAGTGTGCGGTGCAGGGGTGGCACGCGCCACGTGCAAGTGTGAGGGCAATTTCATTTCAAAAAGTGCCATTTTAAACGGATTTTGGATTTTATTTTATTTTCCCGTGACCATCAGACTGAGAGAGTTGAAACAACGTCAATTGCCAAGAGAAATGTACTGCCTCTCATGGAAAAATTGTGGACAGCTAATTGATCAAAAACAATGTGGAAAAATCGCTGAATTAAAATGGTATTTGTCCATAATGTGCCACTAAAAAGATACACGGGATTTGCTGCTTAACCTGATACGCTTGATAATTGAAAATGCTATCATTAGAAAGAGCATTCAATTCTCTCCAAGATCCAATCATCACGTTTGCATGACAAGCAACAGTATTCTTAAAAATATAAATGTTTTAAACCTCTGCAAAACGATTTTTAGCGAAAATTATCTACGCCTTTCATTTGTCTTAAAACTACGCACCTCAATTATAAAGCACATTTGACAGGTTCACTGAACTATTGACAGGTTCTGAAGTAGAAAGCATGCTTATCAGACACGGGCACCTCGATCCGATGGATATTTTTTTCCAAACCAAAACGTTTAGCCATCAAAAAACAATCGACCGAAATGGATAGATAACCCAACCGACACAAGAACAACCAAACACCCGCCGATCGTAAATACCCCCTTTTCGCGTTGCGGAGCACGCGGGCCACCCTAGTCAGCAGCTATTTTTCTTATAACTGGCTACGTTTTTTGGAAATTTGTCATCATAATGAAATGGAAAATTGCCAGCCTGCAATTTTAATGGTGGTAAAGCTGGAATGTGATTATTGGCTGACTGGTAGGTACTCTCCAGCTGTAGTTATTTTTTGCTCTAAGTTGCCCCAAAACTTTTGCAAGCCACATGTAAAAAATCACCATTGAAGTAAAGGTATTCAATCCTTATTAACTAACCAGCAACCCTACTTATGCTTCATATCTATAGTATTTTTTTTTATTTTGGTTCAGTTTGTTGGAGCCTCAAAAATAAAAGTACCAGCAGTCAGTAATTTTTCTGTAGGTAAAATTGGCATCTAATCACAGACTCACAGATGATCTCCAAGAGCATCTAATGACTAAACAGCTGACCTCCCTGATAGGTTATTTTGTATCACCCTTTACCAAAGGTCTTGGGGATTACAGGTCTAGATTATGTGTTATGTGTGGTGTATTTTGTTACCTCTGTCCATCACATTTTGATAATAGCAAAATTTAACGAGGGTAAAATACTATTGGTGATGTCATTCATTGACAGTATCTCCCTCTGGCAGATGATGGCATCAGAGGTGCCCATCGTGCTCAGTGATGACGAGGAGGGGCCGCCGGCGCCGGCTGACGGGCCGCCGCTCGGTGACGGCGCCGCTCCGTTGACGGGGCCGTCTCCAGACCCGGTCGCCGGCGGCCACACCCCGCACAGCTCCGAGGAGTTCGACTACTCGGCGGCGGCTGACGAGGTCGACCTCAACAACGTCTCGCTGCACGAGAGCGACATCGAGGAGGGCGACATCTTCGCCGAGAACCTGCAGCGGTACACAGGTGACCGGAGACGGCGGCCGCCCGGCGCCGGAGCACAAGGGCGACCACTGTGTCAACTTTTGGTGGCTGGTCGATCATATCAGTTGTTTATGGTTCCCATCTAGGCTCTCACCATACTGTTCGTTCGTGCACCATTCTCAGTTCCGCGCATTACCCCCATGTAAGTGTGATCTAACCCCTGACCTTATGTGTGTGTGTGTGTGTGTATGCGTGCCCGTCAGAGTTGCAGCGTCAGACTGAGGAGCGACTCGCTGCCGAGCCGCCGCCCCGCATTTCCTCCCCGGAGACGCCCAATGGCGCTACCAAACGGGCCGCCGCGAAAACAGGCGGCCGGCCCAAACGGCTGCGGACGAGCTCCCCGGACCGGGAGGGGGAGGGCGGCCAGGAAGAGGAGTGAGTGCGGGCTGTTAATGAGCCAGTGCAGTGCTGGTTGGTGTACTTATACCGCCCAAACTGTCTCCTTGTCAAACATAAACACCAATGCTGCTAGGGCATAGTCTGCATGCCTGACTTCTAAATGTCAATGTTTGAAATGACCTAATGAAATATCACGTATCTGCCGGACTCCATCAGAGACTGATGTATCGTTTGTTCTGTCGATAGCGAGGAGGAGTTCCTGGCGAATCTGCTGGCGACGCCTCCTGTCGCCGCGGTACGCCGCAGCCCGCCAAAGACACGCCGAGGGAGGGCTCTGGACATGTCTGCCCCGGAGGTGCTGCAGGAAACGGTGAGGCTAACACTTGACGTGTCCCTTTTGATGTACCAACTGGAGGAAACGGCGATGCACGCAGTATTATTTTTGAAGAGCCGAGCATTTCGTCCTGCTCTGTCAACGCTCTTTAGTAGCTACCAAGTACCTACCATTGGCCGACAGTGTAATTAATCGAGATCGATATCACACGTCACCGATGTACGAGTGGGAGAAATAGCTGAGCTCTCCGTGCCATGTTCTGAGTGCTGTTGAGACCGGCTGTTGGTGCCGACTATTCCGCCGGCTGTTGGTTGCGGCCCGTCCCTCCCCGTCTGACGCCGTTCCCCGCCGCCAGCCGCCGGTGGTGAGCGACTCGCCGCTGGTCCCGGCCGAGGATCCGCCGGAGCCGGAGCCGGAGCCGGCGGGAGCCACGTTCACTGCGCGCGTGCTCGCCGGACAACTCGTCATCCGACTGCAGATGAAACGGGTGGGTGGTTAGTCCCGCCGGCGACTGCAGCGGCTGGGTGGGTAGCCCCACAACTGCAACGGCTGGGTGGCGCCGCGACTGCAGCGGCTGAGTGGCGCCGCAACAGCCCCGGGGGTGGTTAGCCCCGCGACTGCAGCGGCTGGGTGGCGCCGCGACTGCAGCGGCTGGGTGGCGCCGCAACAGCCCCGGGGGTGGGTAGCGCCGCAATCCTGGGGTCGAGTCGGTAGCGGGCCTTGGTGTGGACTCTGCTTTGGTGAACTTACCCATTCCCCTATTTGCTATCGCTCTTACATTTTCTGCAACTTACTGATATTTTATAGGGCCCTCTGTTGTACATACTACATGCCATCATTCAAACCCCTTGACTGTGACCTGACCTCCCCCCCCCCCCCCCCCGTCGTCCGTCAGTCGGATCGGCTGCAGCGCCTGTTTGACGCCGTGGCTGACGAGCTGTCGCTGCCTGTCCAGCGGGTGTGCCTGGGTCAGCGGGACGTCATCTACAGCCCGCACCAGACGCCCGACGACGTGGCACTGGGACCTTTCGACATGATCGGTGGGTGAGACGCGCGCCGCGCCGCCCGTTCCAGTCTCTGGGGGACGCAGAGTGGGGCGTCCGAGCGGCTGCCGGGCCTTCAGCTCTTCAGGGCCAGCGTGCACCAATGAATTGTTAAATTGCTCAGCAGTGTCATTACGGAGCGAGCGAAGCGAGCGGAGTCTTACGTAGAATAACGGAAATTTCTTAGTATGAGCGGCCGGCCGGCCGGCCGGCCGGCCGTGCGGACGCTTTTGCGAGGCTTATATCTCAGCAACCACTTGACCGATTTACACGCGGTAATTTTTATAGGGTAGCTTCATTCCTTCTACCAAGTTTTGGACTATTCCCGATGCATGTGAGTGACCCCTTATGCACGTGCCACGTGCAAAACGAAGAGGTGTCAGTTTTGCAATTGTTGCAATATTTCGGTAACTACTCGGCCGATTGCGCTGAAAGTTGGCATGTAGGTAGGCACCCACTAGGCACTGCATATCCATGTGCCAGAGTTGGGGTGCTGCTGCACGTGCGCACGTGCAGGGGTCGTTTCCAGATCTCGAGAACGGCTGGACCGATTGCGCTCAAATTTGGTACACGGTTAGGGACCGGTTAGTAGGGTGCCGTGGAAAAGCCAGTCGGGACCCATTTTGCACGTGCGCACGTGCAGGGTGCCGCTCCCAGATCTCGAGAACGGCTGGGCCGATTGTGCTCAAATTTGGCAAATCGCTAGAGACCGGTTAGTAGGGTGCCGTACACAAGTCAGTTGGAGGTACCCCCTCGCAATTTCGCACGTGCAAGGCCCACCCTCTCGCTCGCTCCGTTAGTCGCCCCATAAGGCGTTATACTGGTGTGGCATTTGACCAATTTACTTATTGTACTTGCACACTTTCACTTTGACATCGAGAACCCTCATGGATGCAAAGCTCACTGTTTCAACCAGCTGGTTATCGCGATGCTTTTAACTTTACCTGCGTTTGGATTAATTGATTCACCGCTTGCTCACGCAGCACGGTATACCGTTTTCTGTTGCCGGAGCTCTAACATACCTCCCCATATGTCCCGTTCGGTCTCAGAGTTCTGGGAGGTCAGCTCGGCACGGGCCGCCCCGGCTGCCCCGGCCGTGCCGCAGCCGGTCGACCCCAACTCGATCGAGCTGAAGGTGCAGAGTGCCGAGCGGCGCGGCGCCGTCACGGTGCGGCTGGGCAGAACCGAGCCCATGTCGGTACTGATGGAGCGCTACGCCCGGCAGAAGGGCGCCGAGCTGGCCAAACTCAGGTGGGTGTACGTACACCGCGGAGTGCTGGCCGAAGAACGGGGTGGGGGGGGGGGGGGTGGGGGGGTGGATAGGGGGCGCTGCTGCTGTGGAGAGATTTGTTAGTTGCGCGGCAGGATGTTGCCGGTCTATTTCTATTGCCTAGCGGCGGTATCTGCTGTTGGCATTGATTGACTTGTGCTTCCGGATGCTTTAGCTGCCGCGTTATGAACCATTTAATGATGTTGATGAACGAAGTGATTCGCAACGATAGAAACGCGCATTGAAAGGTCTTACTCAAGACGTATGGAAGTCACGGGATGGCCGCTGTGTGTTTCAGGTTCCGGTTCGATGGCGAGGCTCTGGACCCGAGCGACACTCCTGAGACACTGGATCTGGAGGGCGGCGAGTGCGTGGACGTGCACTCCTGCTGACCTCTGCGACCTCTACACGGGCTCCGATCTGACCTCTGCCGTGGCTGCCGCTCTGTGACCTCTACACTGGCTCTGATCTGACCTCGGTGCGGCCGCTGACCGGAGGCCACGTGCTCGATATGGCCCGGTGTGATTGTGGTAGCCTCTCAGTGTTGAGCCTCTCTTGAAATTATCGCTACTCGATAGTATCGCTATCGCTACGTGGTTTGAAAGCGCTTGGTGTTTAAGGGTTGGCCGCCTGGTGGGCCCGTACCGCTTTCACGGCTACGCGGGCCGGCCAGGTGGCCAACCCTTAAAGGAAATAGTTCACTTTTAACATGGGCTTTTAAACTGGAATAATAGTTTTGTAGCTGGAGCTGAGACTAGCACAAATCAGAAGCTTTTACGTCCCAACGATCACCCTAGACGAAGATATTCCATTTCTCGTTCCGAAAAGAGGACCTTGCAGAGGAATGTGTGTCTTGCTGGGGAATGCAGCCACGTCATCGTCAGCCAATCAGCATGCTGCTTACAGCCAATGGGTTTGCACTACGCAGTATGCTTGGTCAACGCATAATAAGCTTCCACGTTAAGCAATATTTTATATAGAATACAGTTCTTCCTATATTAACATATGGAAAATAATCTTCTTTATAAATGGTTTTATTTGCTTTTCTGATCATTTAAAGCATAAAAATTATAAATCTATTGAAAAAAAAATTAATTTTGGGAGAGTGAACTATTCCCTTTGAGTCAGGAGCCCTCAAACCAGGGAGCGATAGCGATACTTCCAGGAAAGACTCTTGTTGGACAATTGTAGAGATGCACGAGCGATACTTGTTTGGCACTCTGAACCATGCTGAAGGCGCATACAATTGGAAGGCAGCTGGTTGCAGCTACTGACTGCAGAACACTGCGTAAAAACTGCCGATCAAAGTAATCCATGTCAGTCTTGTGGTGCTTCCTCGCAGATATAAGTACCTGATTCGCGCATCATTTGGTCTCAATGTGCAGCGTTGATTGCTCAGCGTCCGTCAGTATCATCCGATACTGAGATTGTGCGCCTATTCTGAGTGTATTTATTTGTGACGTGTAGGTATCGTCTCCTGACAGGCGGGGCCTCAGACCACTAGCTGCGGAGGCCGGTGTAGTGTGCTGCGTCAATTTCAGACCACCGTCAGAGATCTGCTATGTCGAGTATGGGTGTGCCTGCTGGCTGCTGATGGGTGTGTGTGCGTCAGTAGCTGGTGGTTTCCGATCAGGTCTCGTTTTGTGCTGGCTGTGAGGCCAGGTAATACGGATCATGTCCGTCTGCATGTCAGAAATGTGTATAACTGTCCGCTCTTTTTGTAATGCCGTGTTGGATTAAATTGCCGCAATATATTATTTTCGGATGATTCGTGTTTTTTTTTTTTTTTTGGCACATTAGCTTGGCGTCAGTATTTCTGCAGTGCACTATAAGTGAAACATCACATTCCTGGGCAGATGATCAGACAGTGCCCGAACTGACCGAGCCAGCGCTTTGCAACGGCAACTTTTTCGAGGGGCCCCACAGACAGAAGGCTGTTGCTTCTGTTTGGTTTGCGAAGCGTACAGGGTAACAATGTTTCTAGAGAAATGCAAAATACGTAGTCCGCTCAATTTTACCGGAAATAATGTGTGGAGAAGTTTCCAATCAAATATGAAAGTGTTACAGCACAGTACACACATATAGGTATAATTAATTGCTAAAATCAGTAGGGCTATAACATTATGTGAAGCTAGCTGTGCCGCACCGCTGACCTGACCGCTGTACAGTGTACATGCTGTTCTGTTATTTGGCGGCTACATGGCTGAATATAGGCTGTGCCGCTGCACAATATCGACAATATCCTCTTAATCCGATGACGCATGACGCTACGCTAGTAGTGGACGCCTGAAGTTATGCTGCGCCGCATTACGTGATGTTTTGCTACACGGCCGCTAGATGGCTCTAGTGTAGTGCGCCTAAACCTTGGCTGTGCCGCCGTGCAATATCTTCTGACGCCGATAATAGATGACGCTAGTAGTGAGCGCCTGAGGTTATGCTGCGCCGCATTACATAGTGTTTTGCTGAACGGCCGCTAGATGCCACTAGAATATTGCGCCTGAACATAGGCTGTGCCGCCGTACAATATCTTCTAGATCCACCAGTAGATGGCGCTAGTGGTGGGCGCCTGTAGCTATGCTGCACCGCATTGCATGATGTGAGATGCTTCGTTAACCTAGAAATATAGCTGCATCTAATCTTAGTACATACCTACACTGTTTTGTTTCTGTTGTATTTTGCGTCAGCATTCATGCGGACAGCGGAATGGAGTCATATCCTTCGAGTACATCACAGTTATTCACTGCAACACGGTAAGGTAGGTTGTTGGTAGACATTCCCAAAAACCTACCTAATGGGTTTTGTTGCCTACAGTGTCAAAAAGAAAGCAAATGTAAAAAGCTATTCAGTTTAGTGTTCGTTGTGGAAAAATACTAATTTTTAAGCCGTGGTGAATTCCCTGGGCTCCGTTGCAGCCAGTGCGGTACTGCGCCGTTGGCCGCCGTCGGCTCGTTGTCCGATCGACCGGAGCCGTCAGCGGCGGGCCGGCCGGTCCGCAGTGACCCGCGCCTGTGTGTCTGTGTGCAGCCCGTGTGTTTGTACGACCCGTCCCGGTCCGGTGGCCCGAGGTCCGGACGAGAATCAATGGCTCTATGGATACGCATAAACAGCGGACGGAGCGCCGCCGCCGGCGGCCGGACGCGGCCTCAGTCAGCCGTCGGGCCCAGTGCAGCCGCCGGCCCGAGTGACCTGGCTCAGGTCAAGTCAGGTCAGGTCTCACGGCAGCCGGGCAGTGACCAAAGGTCAGTGGCAGCTCCGGTCAAGTGTGTTTGCGTTTCGTTGGTGGAGTCTGGCGTGGGACGTTCTACGTGTGGTTTGTGCATTTTTCTTACAGCCTCCGAGCCGTGCAATTTCCTCGTAGTGATTGGCAGATAAATATGGGTATAGGGGCACAATAAGTTCGGTTCCTTTGAAAGACAGACTACTTCAGAACTGCATTCTAGGTACGATAGTCGGGATAATACAGTACATAAGTCCCTTATGTATAATATCTCGCACGGCTATATCTTGTCCGGATACAGCTACCAATTTCAGTATTGGATAATGTGGCTCTAAGAGTTGAAAAACTTCGTTATAAAACCTAAGTAATAAGTATAATTGAAATTGTAACTGACTTGAAATTAGCTCCGTGAAATTGTGCAACGTTTATTTTAAATCGACGTTTTAACTCAACCAAAATACAGTGTGTGTTCACCGTTTTGAAGAAAATGCAACGCATATATGAGCAAAGAACCGAAGGGAACTGAAACTGACGTTCAGGAAAAATATAATCCGTCACTTACGTAACGACTAACGATATCACGTAGTAAGAGAAGTAAGCATAGCCAAGTTTCTAGTACTTTGTTGAGCTATAAAAGCATGCCATGTCCGGACAAATCAAGATCGGCACGTTTGGCGAGATCAGCCGAGCAGCCATCTGTACGTGGTTGGTGTCTGTGATCCGCTGCGGTCAGCTGGGGCGCAGCGGACAACCGAGCGCCACTTATAGTGATGGTGGAACAATCACTCAGACCACGATCTTCTTCCGTACAGTTGGCAGTTGTCTCACTGGAATGCGTCTGGATTTAACCCTCGCATGTGTAGGGGGGTCGGATGGACCCCCCCCATGGTTTTTCGCGAATAACTCGCGTAAAAAGCGGCCGATTGCGACGAAACTTTCAGTACCCTCGCATTGAATAATTTTACACCTACCCTGAAAATTTCATGACCCTGACCCAAATGACCTTTGACCTGTGACCTCTTTTCCGAGACCATGTTTGGCCGGAATCGCGATTTCGCGTATGTCGGCTCGCACTAGCCGCGTGTTTGCAAGCTTTTCGTGGTTTCAAACGTTCAAACATGTGATTTGATGTTACTCCCGTGTGTGTCAAGGTCACCTGAAGGTCAGGTCAGGTCATTGACCTTTGGTGACCTCGGGTGACCTCGGGTCACTTTTTCGAGTTTTACATGTTTCTAGGCTAGTTTTTTAGCTGAATTCGAATTTAGCAACCATTTGAACATTTAGGTACGAAGTAGTTTTGGTGACTTCGTAACATGTTACGAAGCTGTCAGAGGCGGTTGACACGTACTACGAATACCCGTCACGACGCCTACTGGTTGACCTGACCTGACCTGACCCGACCTGGTCTAAATGCTTCAAGACATCATCTGTGATCAATCAAAACTAACACGATATTCGTGATCAGCACCCCGAAAAACCCCTTAGCAGCCACACTTTACGACTTTCTAACAGGTCCCGATTTTCCCGACCTTGGGTCATTGACCTGACCTGGAAGGTCAACCAACAACCTAGGACCTTAAAATTGGGTATCATCGGCTTTCTCTCGTCACGGGCAACACGCTCATTTTTTCCGCGAAGCTCTAGCTCGATCAGGGGCCAAACGGCAAGGGGGGGGGGGTCCAACCGACCCCCCCCCCCTACACATTAGAAGCTGGCAAACGCCGCACACAGAACCGAGGTCACCAAAGGTCAATGACCTGACCTGACCTTCAGGTGACCTTGACACCCACCCTTATGCATGGGAGCAGCATCAAATCACATTTTTGAACGTTTGAAACCACGAAAAGCTTGCAAACGCGCGGCTAATGCGAGCCGACATACGCCGAATCGCGATTCCGGCCAAACATGGTCTCGGAAAAGAGGTCACAGGTCAAAGGTCATTTGGGTCAGGGTCATGAGATTTTCAGGGTAGGTTTATAATTGATCAATGCGAGGGTACTGAAAGTTTCGTCGCGATCGGTCGTTTTCTACGCGAGTTTTTCGCGAAAAACCTTAGGGGGGTTGCATCACCTCCCCCCCCTGTGCCGGCGAGGGTTAAGGAATAGCAAGAAAAAGTTCCCAAATTTCGAGCCCCTAGCTTAACCCTATTCCTGGCGGGCTCCGCCGGGACAAGAAACTGGCGGGGGGGCCGATTCGGCCCCCCCCCTGAGATCTCGAGAACGAAGCAAGATAGCGACAAGCGGTAAACGGCATCGGATACGCACGGTCAAGATCAACAATTTTTACCAAGGTCATTTTCAGGTCAGGTCAAAGATGACGTCACAGGGGTCGAAAAAGTCAAAATGGCGGCGCTGGATATGGAGAGAGTTTTTCTCGAATAACTTTCGAATTAGTCAAGATAGGAACAAACTAAGGGCAGCATCGTGATCCTCTCGTCAATCCGCATCGAATGATATATATGTTGACCTCGAAAGGTCAAGGTCAAAGGTTGACCTCAGGTCACGTGACCTCGAGGTCATCATGTATATCATTCGATGCGTCTTGACGAGCTGAACACAATGAGACCATCCACGCGTCTGTATCTTGTTCCTGTACGGAGTTATTGGCCAAAAACCTTTGGTGACCTTTGATGACGTCACATGACCTCACAGCTGCCCAACAGCAAAACAGACCTCAAGGTAGTGAAGGTTGATCGTATATGAAGTCATGTATGTTATATGGGGCCATTCCGACCCGTTTTAGTGGTAAAAACAGGGAGTTGATTTTTCCCCCATTGACTCATAATGGGGAGGTCGCGAAACTGACCTGACCTTAGGTCACCGATATCAAAATTCCGAGATATACAAATTGCACATACTGGTACCCTAACTAAAACCTGAAGAGAAGAAATTGATCGGTCAAAAACTCTAGCTCTGGCGTGATTGCAAACTTTTCTGAGGTAGGGTCACCAAACCGCCTCTGGTGACCTGACCTGAGGTCAGATCAACTCAAAATTTTCAGACATGTTGCGTAGAAGCCTTTTAGGAAAAGTAAGAAAATTTGAGCTTCCTAGCTCATTGCGTTTGGGAGAAATAACCAAAAAACCTCAGGGGGGCTCCTGAGGCCCCCCCCCCCCGCCCGCCAGGAATAGGGTTAAGTGGTTTTCCGTCGAGACCAAAAAACTACAGGTGGGGGCCGATTCGGTCCCTCCCCCCCACCCCCCACACCCACCAGTAATAGGGTTAAAGATGACAGCTTGTTTGGCACGCTAATTTAACAGACTTTATTAGCTCTGGAACCAATTTCCATCACCTTCCTTTCATATTCTCATCTCTGCTATATTTTCCAATACGGTATTTGTACAAAGCGCCCCCATTGGCTGCGGAGTGATCGACATTCCCGCGCTGGTCGTGTATGGTTGCGTGAAGTGGCCAGTGGGGCAGTATCGCCCAGTGATGCGAGATATGCCGTTTGCAGGTACACCTGAAGCTAGTCAGAAGACGCCATCATGACCGAAGAAAATGTCAAGGTCGCCGTCAGGATTCGACCATTCATATCCTTTTCATGCAGCTATACTCGTAGGTGGTTTTCGAAACGCACGATAGGCGATGGTATCATTATCCCGCGCGCGCCCCGTTGAGGTCTGGCATGGGTTCCACGTCCTGTTGATGTCCGTGAAGTTAGCGTCAGCAACAGCAACGAATACCGCGTCGGATTCAGAATCGCTTCAAAAACCCTAACCAGGTCAATTAGGGGACAGGAGCACGAATATGACATTTATGTTGTCCTAGCTCCTTTCCTTCATCCCTTAATCGTCCCTTGAAGGACGGGGCGCGTCAAAAGTGCCTCAAGGCTTCGTCTGATCACCAAAATAATGGTCGCAATCGATTCCTCGTTTCAATATCTAGCCTCAGTCGAAGGTTCCAGACCTGTGCCTCCTATCGCTCATCCTTTAATCGTCCCTTAATGAATGCCACCATCAGGTACCAGTACCACCTGTCGTTGTAGGCACGGACCCTAGAAATCCCCGCCCTCAGGAACCCGGATACCAGGCCAACAATGCAATGCTCTACATTTCCACCCGCGTGTATAGTGACTCAGGGCATCCATGACGTCATGCTCACCACAGTGCCAGCCGCTGTTGATGACGTCACAGGCAGGTCCAAGGTGGTCATATTGACCGCTGCCGCGGTGACGGTGTCGCTCGCCGGCCTATCGCGTGACCGGAGGATCCGCCGGCGCGGCCGACCGCGGGCCGCCGCCGTCCGGCCGCCGAAGGTCAGTAACATTGAGCGCGCACACAGCGGTCGACGCCAGCCGTTAATGAGAGTGCAAGGTCATTAACGAATGGTCGGCGGGCCGGCGGCCAGAGGGGTTATTAGAGGAGTACAATGAAAAATATTTGAGAAAAAGTGTTGATTAGAAATGGACAGTTACAACTGAGCAATTCATATAAGTGTATAAGCCTAGCCTAAGTATTAGCCTATGACTCAGGCTGGAGATAGGATTTAAACGTCTCCCTAAAAGGATATTTTGCACCTTTGTCCTAAGGCAGCCTGGAAAATTGTCATATTAACCAATAGGTATCTTTAGTTTGTTCCCGCCAAAATAGCGCTATAGATTAGATATGCCTGTATGTGGTGTACTCGTCGTTCACCCAGTAGGTACTGCCTCGCTCGGCTATGCTCCTTGACTGAGGCACACAACAGTCGCGAGAAGGGCCGCAGCGCCCAGCTGATTCTCGACACCAACGGGAACACGACGTTCATCCGCGACCCGGCGCCCGGCGGCGAGACCAAGTCGTTCACCTTCGACCACTCCTACTGGAGCTTCGACGGCTGCAAGGAGAACAACGGCTACTTCGAGCCCGACAAGAGCCACAAAAATGGCGGCAAGTTCGCTGACCAGGTCAGTGCAGCTCTGGGAGATGGGTGTGTTTATGGGGCGGGGGGCGGATATCAGGAACGCATGTAAGCAGAGTGCCCGGCACTGTTGTAAGCCTCTCGATGGGTTGATTCTATTGCTACACTTTTTCTAGTCACTTCTGAGTGCTCTCTCGTCATTTCTTCCGTCAGAATATGGTCTTCAACGACCTGGGTCAGGGTATTCTCAAGAACGCCTGGAGTGGCTACAACGCCACTCTGTTCGCCTACGGCCAGACGGGCTCGGGCAAGTCGTACTCCGTGATCGGCTACGGTCCCAACAAAGGTACCTACCCGGCTCGGCCACTCGAGTGGCAGACCGTCAGCGCTCCGGAGGCACTTGTCGCGGCCTTTGCCACTACCGAGGCGAGCTAAACTGTTGTCCAAATCGGAGAGAATGCCTTAATACCTATAGTAAGATTACGGTGTTTTGATAGCATTTGAAATTACGCTGAAAACGCGCCCAGCTCCAAAGCAATCAAATTTGGGAATGTTTTTCGATTACGGCACCGAAATATGGAGAAACAAAGCGCTAGGTATAGGTAATCGTCTTTTAACGGGCACCGTCGAGAATATCACGCAAACGTAATTTTTTTAATTTCCATTTTGAATGTAAACGGACTCCTGTGGACTCGGGCTTGATTTGTTTATGTCCTCAGGAATCGTCCCAAAGTTTTGTGAGGAAATCTTCAAAGGTATCAAGGAGAAGGCCAAGCAACCCATTGTGTTTGAGGTTAAGTTCAGCATGCTGGAGATCTACAGTGAAGTAGTACACGACCTACTGAACCCGGCGAAGAACAAAAAGTCCGGCCTGAAGGTCCGACAACACCCCAAGAAAGGATTTTACGGTAAGCGTGAAAACAGATTCACGTAAAAACATTCCATGATGTTTGATAAGTCATCACTCATCACATTCAGCGATCCACACTCTAACTAAGCTAGGGACCAACTTACTATGTCAGTTACAACAGGGAACATCTGTCTGGTGGCTTTCACAATTGGGCCTAGTCCTTCCTTCTCACCGTGCTAAAACTTTGACTCCCCCCCCCCCTCTTCCAGCCGAGGGTCTGAAGCAGGTGATGGTGACCTCGTACGCCGACATTGAGGCGCAGATGGACGAAGGCACGATGAACCGGACGGTGGCCTCGACCAACATGAACGCCACCTCCTCGCGCGCGCACACCATTGTCGGCATCCACTTCACGCAGAAACAGAAGAACGCCGCCGGACAGGAGACGGCCAAAACGTCCATCGTCAACCTGGTCGACCTGGCCGGCAGGTCGGTGAAAACAGGGAGCGGCAGCCCGCTGAGCGCCCAGCCGGCTGGCTGGCTTTGTGCAGGAAGGGCGGGTCCTGGTCGTGAACCGATGGAAATTCGTCGTTATCGTAAACGGCTGGGTTTAAAGATGTGGTCAAACGATTAAGCCTTCAGGTCTAATGAAATAAATGCAGGCGAATGATAAAACACGTTAAGCTGTGTAAGGAATAGGTTGAAGTGGTATTAATTATGTCGCCACGGGTTCTGTGTGTCCGTCGTCGCAGCGAGCGGGCGGACAGCACCGGCGCCACCGGTGACAGGCTGAAGGAGGGAGCCGCCATCAACAAATCGCTCTCCACACTCGGAAACGTCATCTTCGCTCTCGCCAAACAGTCCAGCGGTGAGAAGGTGAGGAAAACTAGTATCTTTAGTCTTTACACGCGGTCCAGCGGTAAGAAGGTAAGACGGTTAGCCTCAATACTCCAGCAATATAACTGTCAACTGTCAGCATATACCTGTAAATCACTTCTGGTTACAAATGGCTATCAAAATGACTATTAGTAAACCTAAGAGATCACGGAAATTACTGATGGCATATTGCATTAATTGTATGAATAAGGATTATTTTACCTGTTCAATGTTACTGACTCTTTCACTACGGTTTACCGCGGCAGATAGTTCTGATTTCTACGGACTGACCGTGCTGACCTAGCACCCCGGTCGCGTCCTCCGCAGGACGTGCGTGTGCCGTTCCGGGACTCCGTGCTGACCCGGCTGCTGCAGAACGCTCTGATGGGCAACTCCAAGACGGTGATGGTGGCTGCCCTGTCACCGGCCGACCTCAACTATGATGAGACCATGTCCACGCTCCGCTTCGGTAAGTCTCACGGCTGTTTGTTAGGCCATCCATTTATAGCACCAAGTCCTAAAGTCGTGGTTTTCGCTGCTCGTCATATATCAACACACTGCTTTTTAAACATATGACGACATTCTCCGGTCGAAAATAGTAAGTTTTTTGCCGTAAGCCGGCAATGTTTGGACCCTACACAGTTTCAAAAGCATAAATATTAGGCCAAAATAATATGTTCAAGCCCTAATTAACCCTCACGATATAAAGAATTACTTATGCTTCAAATCTAGCAACAATTTTGTGAACATGAAAAACAGGCTCACACTAATTACTGCAATTACTCACATACATGCTTTTCGGCAGTTAACACCGAAAAGCGACGATGCATGGCAGATTGTGGCCGCTGAGTATTAGGCCTCGCCGTCATCGTATGAAAAAATATCGGTGGTGAAATTACTCTGATATCGATCGCCGGGCAGTGGGTTGTGCAGGAGAAGGCTAGAGGAGTGGCTGTAACTAGCGCACCCAGCTCGCGGTATGTACGAGCGGTACGCGAACGCGAAACGGACGGTGGAAATGTGTCATACAATCCACATAAAATATTCACCACGAATGTCAAGGTGACTCGGGAACAGCCCTACGTGTGACGGATCCACCGCAAATCCTCGTCAACGGGGACACCTGGAGGGACGCCGAGAGCGCGGTCTGGAAACTTAAAATCCCAGTTCGCCATGGCAAAGTCGCTTGAAATAGCCGTAGCAGTGTCTGACGTGTTCTAAGTAAGCACAAAAGCATTATGCGTTTTATGGAATTATTCGTTCTACTGGAAAGCATAACTAACGGGTTAGCTCAGTAACAGTTTCATTATCATAACCACGATCCATGCTCCTACCGACATCTGACTGCCCTTTTCTGTGCCCTTCCCCTCCCTTTCCTCTCGCAGCCGACCGGGCCAAGCAGATCAAGACCAAGGCGACGGTGAACGAAGACCCGACTGAGAAGCTGCTCCGCGAGCTGAAGGAGGAGAATGAGCGGCTCAAGGCCAGCATGAAGGGCGGCAAGATCGACATGGGCAACACGGCCGGCATGTCGGCGGCCGGTGAGTGCCGGCCGCGCTCTCAAACAGAAAATTAGTGCATTAGACACTCTCGCCAGAGCACTTCAACATACCTATGAACAGATATATCGGCGCAGCAGAGTTCCTGCAAACGTTGAGTGTTGTTGATGATTGTTAGTTGTTACGTGTTTGCGCTGTGGTAGAGCCGGTGACAGTAGGTATTTTACTTCTCAGACAAGGAGGCGCTGCGGAAGGAGCTGGAGGAGGAGATGCGCGCCCAGATGCTGGAGAACGACCGGGAGCTCGAGGACATGAAGAAGTCCTACGAGGAGAAGCTGAAGGCAGCCCACAAGTCCTCGGCCACGGCGGCGGTACGTTCCCGGGACGGGACGGGCTCGCGGAGCTGGTCCGGACACGGCATTGTGGATATCGTATCACTCGTGACTCGGACATTTGTGCCTGACATGTTACGAAGCTACATAACTATTAATGATATAGTTATCATCCATATCATTTATCATATGGTGTTAAGTGCATACACTTTAATCGGGGCAATAGTGCATATATTTAGTCGTGGCAGTTATATAATCACATAACTACAATTGGAACAATAGACGTAAGGATTTCTTTGGTGGGAGCCAGACAGCCGTCCTCCGGCCTCCTGGCCGCTCCACTGCTCCTCCGGCATCCTGGCCGTCCGTCTCCGCTGCCACTGCGTCACCTCTGACCCCTCCATCCAAGGGCGGCGCCACCGTGGGGGCAGTGGGGGCAGACTGCCCCCACTGGCAGGAGGCCGTGGGGGCAAGACTATGTTTTTGCCCCCACAAAATTTGGCTGAGGTATGGGAACAGAAGACCGGTGCAACATTCATTATAGGCGGTTATAATAGTACGCCTGTTTTTGACGGTCCTCGTATCAAGTGCGTCAGCAGAACGTTCGTTCTCGGACCGTCTGTCGCATATCTCGTACTCCCACTCATTCTCCTACTCATTTTCATTCACCAAAAGGCTGCCCTAGAGCTTAATCTCGAGGAGGTTGAGAAGCAGTTTATCAAAAGTCGGCCAGAGAAGAGATCACCCTCTTTTGGGAACCCTTAGACTGAGACTGAGCTCAGAGAGGTATGACAAAATGTGATAGGTATGTATATCCCGGGTTATCTGGAATTGTATGTGGGTCGCCCTAATGGAGCTTATTCTCGTACCTATATCAATCGTATGTGAGAGAATCGCACATTATATACGTACTACGGGGAAAATGAGAAATAGGTACTGACTATAGTTTTGAGGAACACACCATTTTACATCTCAACGAACAACATAACGTTTTCAGTAGTTTTCACAGGTTTGTGTCTCGCAATCTAGTTTTATAGTTTTATTTCGGCCGGGCGGCCCGGGGGTAATCCTAACCACCGCAGCCCGGGGTAGCCCCCCCCCCCCTGTTTAACTCCGTTAATAAGGCAGCTACTGAAACAAAAATGGTACCAAACGAAAAGTATCTATGAGAAGATTCTAAAGCACCGAAACTTTTTGACCTCAGGTCAGTTTTCAAGGTCAGAATTCAAGGTCAAAGGCAAAAACCGGCATTAATGTAGTGGTCTCAAAGTACGTGTTCCAGAGGACGGCATGGTGCATAAAATCGGCTAAAAGGGATGTTGAACAAAAGAAGAGAATCCGTGGATTCCGATGATGTGCATAACATTCAAATTCAAGGTCACGATCATGCTCAAAATTGACCACAAACTTTGCACTTTTTCTTATATCTTGTATACTAAATTCCGAGATGTTTTGATATGTTTTCAAGCTTAGCGGACCCCTATTTGTGCTTAAGCTTACGATACAAGACTGCTACGAGGTCAAAGTCACAAGAGAGTATCCTTGCTAGAGGCTATTTCACTATTCAAGTCAGGCATAATAATTAAAACATGTTTTGCCATACTGAGGCTCTAAATGAATGCTTACAGCAAAATGGATGCCAGAGGCCAAGAATCGTGATCCGCGGCTACGAAATCATCACAAATGACCTTCCATGTGTAAAAAATCAACCAAATGTCATTCGAGGTCACATGAGGTCAACATAAAACTTGACCTTTTCCAAACAATATATATGTCATTCGACGCGTCTCGACAAGACTAATGCGAAGGTACCACTGCCGTAGCTCCAGAACCATTTTTGTTGAAGTTATTTGCGAAAAAAGAAACTAAAGCCCCAGCTCGGGGTCGTTGCCCTGACCTCTGACCTCAGGTCACCAAAGTTACTTAAGTATTTTTTCTGGGTCAAATGCTACACAACCGTGCTCGTAATTTGTCTTTATCTCTAAAACTCAATTTTTGGCAGCTGGTTGAAGTTCACGTCCGTGACGACGAAGTTTGCCGTGCAGGAGTCTAGAAAAATCGGCTCTGAGACATTATCAAGGAGGCTAGGTCCAAATTTTTTGCTTCAAAAGATGTCAAACTAATGGGGGATAAGGTACAGCAAGCTTCGTCTTTCTATCCCTAAGCGTTCGTGAGGTATCGCAAATATTCGCCAGGGGAGGCGAAAAATGCCCCCCCCCCCTTTCCGGGCCCGCGAGGGTTAATGGTTAAACTCAATACGCCTATGCATGAAACCTAAAACCAAAATAATTTTGAATGACAACATCTAGGGACAATGTGCTCATGGATTTTGCAGATCGGCGTTATCAGACAACAGTCGGGTCAGTCTCAAGCTTGCCCCCACTGGCGAAAATTCGTGGCGCCGCCACTGCCTCCATCTCTGTCCCGTCCCCAGGGAGGCGCCGCCGCGGCGACCAACCGCGAGAAGGAGACCAAGCCGCACATCTACAACCTCAACATGGACCCCATGCTCTCCGGCCGCATCGTCAACATCCTGAAGAAGAAGCAGACCGAGGTCGGCAATAGGAAGGGCGGCGAGAGCGACATCACCATGGTCGGACCCGGGTGAGTGTACTTACGGAGACGGCCGAGGCGGCTTACCGGACAACTAACCTGCTCCATTGCGGCACACTTACCCACAGGCCACTTCTACTCCAATAAATAACGATTGAAGAGTGTGGCCAAGTGCACCACAACCTGTTTTAAGTCTGTGTGCGGTGGGTAGGCACGATAAAAACATCCTCTTGTTTTACTGGTCAATGCCTTCAACAAATTGCAGAAGGTTTTAATGCTCCTCAACAAGTCGATTTTAGATGTTAACCGAGTATAAGCATCTACCAAGAATGCACAGGTCCGTGATCGAACCAGCTCTGCGTCTCTCCAAACATTTATGCTGACGTCACTATAGGATTTGTGTTCGACACCTGCGGGCCAGTGAGCCGCGCCATCGGGTGACACTCGCGCCGACATTCATCACTTTTGGCGCCGCCGCGTGGGCCGTCGCCATGGTAACGGCCAACGACGCGCGCGAAACGACCGGCCGACATGTCAGTGAGCACCTGGATATCGGCGAAGGTCGGCTGAAGGTGGCCGGCCGTCATCGATTGTCGAACAGAAACTGCTGGCGGTGGCGGCGATTAAAACGGCCGGCCCTCCGCTGACACTTCACACGGAACAAAGAACGTGCTGGCGTTGATGCATGGCGGTGGAAGAAGAGCGCTTGCTTTAGAGACAAACGTCGCACTGTCGCTAAGCTAAATTCGCCAACATTGAGTCCAAGAAGTTTTGTGTCATTTACTTATTGGCCCTAGCTTCTTATAGCTGCCAAGCTACTGCGTTGAATTTAATTGCGTGGGCCCGAGCGTTGCCAGATTAGACCTTTTCACTTCCAGGGACTCGCCTTTTTGACACGTATCTGCATTTTTATTGATGGGCTGGGTATCATCTAGGTATCCATAGATCATGCGCTATGTAGGACGGGAACTCAATGGATCATGAATGGGTACATTCATGGAGTACGGTTAAGACAGCGGTTTGATTACGGGCACGTGCTCTAACTATGACGCCGGTCATATCTTATATAACTATCTTCTCTCTGGACGTTCCCAGCGCTCTTTTCCATCCACTTGGCCAGTCGTCCGCCCACTGACTCAGTACACTCGATCTCGGGGCCTGGCTCTGGCGTTACCGGCGCGGCGGCGACCGCCGAGGTCGCGTTCATGACCGTGCCCCTGTGCGGTCGGCCGTGCCCCCTCCCCCCCCCCCCCGCCGTTCGCCGCTGGCCCTGTATTCAGTGGCCCAGCATTCATAGTGGTGGTGAGGGAGCCGCCGACATTGATTGGGCCCGCCAACGCCGCCACAGCTGGCGTCACTAGCAAACAGTGACCGGGCCGGACAACTGAAAAACACGGCTCAATGGCCAATACACCCACCGGGCAGGACAACTGAAAACACAGCTCCATATATTGGCGGAGTGGACATGGGACAAATGAAAAAACAGCCCAATGCATCAACGGAATGCAGCAGGATATGGAACTTTATAGCATCAAGCAGGATTCACGCACCAATTAAATGTACCTACCCGAAAGTACAACACACTCGGCACGCACCACGCATTACAGCACGTTAGGACAAAACAGCACAGTTTCATTTCTTCAATTGATTACGAGCGAGCGAGCGCAGCGAGCGAAGTGAGTCTTTTCAATATAACGGAAAAATCTCAGTATGAGCGGCCCGGCCCGGCCCGGCCCGGCCTGTAACGCTTTTGAGAGGCTTATATCTCAGCAACCGCTGGACCGATTGGCCTGCGGTCTTTTTTGTTGGGTAGCCCCATCCCTTCTACCCCGTAATTGACTACTTTTGCTACATCTCAGTGACCGTCGTGGCACGTGCCACGTGAAAAGTCAAGGGTGTTCAAGCTGTTTTGCAAAAGTAGTGATTTTGAGAGGCTCATATCTCAGCAGCCGCTTGGGCGATTGACTTGCGGTATATTTTGTAGGGTAGCAGCATCCCTTCTACCCAAAATAGGATACTCTCGATGTATGTGGGTCACCCCCAGTGCACGCGCAAAATACAACAATAAGAGGTCCCAAATTTGTTCCCATTTCAGTAACTCGGTAATTACTAGGGCGATTTCGCTGAAACTTGGCATACAGGTAGGCACCCACCAGGCAATGCATTCCCATGTGTTGCGGTTAGGGTGCTACTGCACGTGCGCACGTGCAGGGGGCGTTTCCAGATCTCGAGAACGGCTGGGCCGATTGCGCTCAAATTTGGCACACCGCTAGCGAGCGGTTAGTAAGGTGTCGTGTACAAGTCAGTTGGAGGTACCCCCTCGAAATTTCGCCCGTGCAAGGCCCACCCTCTCGCTCGCTCCGTTAGTCGCCCCAAAAGGCGTTATACTGGTATTATCCATGCAACGAACTTGATGAATCAGTTAGATGATTTGATGAAACATTGCTCGTAAAGCAATAATTTCGTACGCCGCAAAATAATGCGAGGAAAACAGTCTAATGTTTAGAGTCTTATGTGTAGATGTTAACACGCGCAGTGGAAGGGTTGCGAGTACTACGCCCAGTGGAAGGGGGGGGGCGGATGTCGCCCCCCCCCCTAAGATCTCAGCTCCCACTGGAGCTAGAAAGACGGAATTTGGAGGGTAGGTAGGGGCCATGGGGAACTCTGTTGTGTGTGAATTTCATGACCCTAGGTCAATATCTTCAAGGTCAAATGAGGTCAAATGTGGTCAAATCTGCCATATTAGCGACTTTTTTGCGTTTACACGCCGATAACTCAAAAAGTTACCGGCCGATTTTTTTTAATCTTTCACTATACGAAAGAGCAAACATTTGTGAGTATGTATGGTGAATTTCTAGATAATCCAACAATAAATATGGCAGTTAGAAGCCTGCGAAGGGTAAGATGTCGCCGGCTGAGGTGGCATCGGCCGACGCGGGAAACGCGGCAATCACAATTTTGTGTTTACACACTCATAACTCAAGTTGTTACCGGCCGATTTTCAAAATTCTTTGACCATATGATTTCCTGTACATTTCTCAGTCTTCTCACCGAATTTGACGCGAATATAATATAATCAGCGGTAAGGAGCGCGATGTAAAGACGGAACCGTCCCGCCCCGGCACAGTCTACAATTCAGGCGGCGCGTAACGGCTAGCGCCGGCCGCCGCGCCGCCGCGCCGCCGCGGCGGCAGGATGTTTGACTTTACACCGCTATTACTAGAAAAGTTGTGAACCGATTTTCTTTCTTTTTGCACGAGAAGATCCGCAATTAAATTCTGGACAGGTAGCCGAAATTTCACATTGATATTATGCTTGCGGCGCGAGTTATTGGCGAAAAACAGGAGGGGTGGGCGAAATCCGCCCCCCCCTTCCACTGCGCGTGTTAAAGCTTTATCACGCTGTTTAATTGGTTCGCAGTATGCAGGAGAAGCACGCCATCATCGCTCTGGATGAGAAGGCCAACAAGGTCAACATCAAGCCGTGTAACACCGACTGTCGCGTGCTGGTGAACGGGACGCCGATCCAGGGCGAGACCACGCTCTGCCACAACGACAGGTTCGTCGGGCCGCTGCCGCCACAGGCTGCTTCCGAGGCTCCGGGGATAAGACACTTACATTTTAACGCTCACTTTATCTGCATTTGAGACGATGCGATGAAGTGTGATATTCGAGTATACAAACAGCATCCAGCGTATGTCACTCATTTTTTTATTCAAAGGTCATTGCTACTCGATAAAGTGCAGCTAGACGTGCAGTTGACCTGCAACGTTTACGCATTATTTGTATTTATGTTCACAGACTGGTGTTCGGAGGAACTCAGATCTGGGTATTTGCTAACCCAGTGGAGGCGAAACAGAGCAAAAAGAAGTACCCGACTATCACCTATGAGTACGCTCAGGAGGAAATCGCATCCAAAAACGGCCTCAAGATGGACAACACAGCAAACAACGGTAAAACAAATATAGAATTACTGTTTGATACGTTTTCGGTCCTGCTGCTATGTCAATGCTTTTGTCCTAAAGGAAACATCAGACATCTGGTACTTTCATAACGTCCAACGGCTAAAAGAACAAAACAAGTACCTTGAGTGCCCTTTATAAGCACTCCCCACACCCGCCCGCTGTTCACCACTCTCCCCGCTGTCTCACACAAACACAGCCCAGGTGCAGCTGCAGGAGGACCTGCTGGAGCTGATGCCGGGAGTCGAGACGGCCAACAGCATCTCCGAGGAGCTCGACAAGAGGTGCAAGTTCGAGATCCTGCTCGTCTCGCCGCAGATGATGGGCAAAACGTCCGGGAACACCGAGGTACGTGAACGCGGCAACAGCGCACGCCAAACGCATATCTGTAGTGCCAAAGGAAGTAACAGTTTTCTAAGTACATATGAACAATGGTGAGCGGCGAGCCATACCAAGCACAAAATTATTATCCGTTCTGTGATGCGTTACTTCTTTTGTGCAGGTCTGTGTCAAGATGAAGAACCTGGCCAACAACGCTGAGTACGTGTGGTCCAAGGAGAAGTTCCGCAACAACCTGTACCTGATGCAGGAGATGTACGCTAACTTCGAGGACGAGGACGACTGGGACCTGCCCGAGGTGAGGGACAGCAGCGGGTCCAGCTTCGCAATACCAGTCAGAACGTCACCTTCTGGACAATACGACATCTGCCTCAGGACTTGTTTCGTTAGGCACCCGACACGGAGGTGACAGCGTTCTGACCCCTGTCCCTCCGTCCCCCGCAGTCCCAGGACCCGTTCCGGGAGCCCCCGGACACGGAGGTGATGATCGGTGTGTGCCAGGTGGTGCTGCAGCCACTCGCCTTCCAGGTGGAACTCAAGGATCAGGTGGAGATCAGCAACTACAAGGGCGCCGAAGTCGGCGTACTCAATGTGAGTCAAACGGTTTTTGTCAAACGGGGAACCTTTCCAGAAAATTGACATCTATTCTAGCGTTTGAGGTGCCTCTTTTTATGGCATAAAACTCGTAATATAGTTTACTTTCACTTATTACTTTAATCGGGCTTCCAATGCTAACTCCTTTTGACGTTACAATGATGCGATTGCACAGACCCTGCAACATGTTATGTTTGTCATCCGAAAATATCCTGTACCAAAGTCAACTCACGAATAACGTTGGTTGCGTTGCCGTGACCGGTGCCCGCCACCGTCCCCAGTTGGAGGTCGTGCCCTGTGACGCCTCCGGCAAGGAGTACAAGGAGGAGGACGATCGGTTCGTCGACAGCCCCGACATGCTTATCGGAAAGGACGTCAACTTCGTGGTCAAAATCAACAGCGCCAGGGGCCTGCCCAAAAGCTACATGGTGAGAAGGACATGCGACCTTTTGATAAGGATTTACCTTTATTCAGGCTGCAAGTCTGAACAGTTTACCACATTCCGTGTATGGAACACAGAAAACATACTCTATGGTGCTATCTTCATTCTACATGCACTTTAAGTTCCCGGCCTGAGTAATCAACGTGCAAAATTTGCCAATGATAGGTATGTTTTGACCTCGAGTGTAGATCATTTACAACTGTGGTCTTATGTGACAGGACGTCTACTGCAAGTACAAGGTGTACCTGGAAGACGATCACAAGACCAAGATGGTGAGCGACACCACCAACCCCGACTTCAACGACAAGAAGATCTTCAAGTTCCCCACGGCCACCAAGCAGTTTGTCGACTACCTGCACAACAGCACGATGGCGATCCAGCTGTGGGGCAAGTACCGTCTGAGGAACCTCTCCGGGTCGATCAAGAACCTCACCACCAAGGACATCATGAAGACCGACAGAGGTGTCTTCTCCAGGTACTAATTTTACTTCTTTGCTACCACTTTTACTTAAATGCCTAATTGTTGACTCTGTTTTGAAAAATAAAGAAGATAATTCATATGGTCATGCAAGTGCGCAATGTATAACGCAGCCGATATTGATCACGGAAATATGATTGTTAATTGTTATTCATCCCCTCTGACGCTGCCTGCGTTCCGTTGCGGTAGGACGGCGAACCTGATGAACGGTTTCCAGATGAACGGCCGGGTGGTGGACCCCCAGAAGCAGTCCATCATCGTCGAGCTGCTGCTAATGAAGAAGACGCAGGCGCGCCTCCAGCAGCGCGTGGTGAGTCCGTGTTACGCAGCTGCACAGCTGGACTGGCAGTGGCCCTACTCAGCATATCGACAACGTGTGCTGTCGCAGTCTGACAATGCGGCAGGCTGCAAGCCTACCACGCCGTTTATAAAGACAAAATGCGTAAAAGTTGTATGCGAATGCTATACCTATTACTTAACCGCTACTGCAGATGATAAAGCAAATGCTGTCAATTCATTTATTATTGGAGTTAGGAGAAGCAGGGCTATTTTTAATTTCTTTTTGTTACCTGTTTCACCAGAAACATCTTCCATCAGCTACTGAACCTCGAATTCTACCTACCCAGATAATCAGCTACCTATCGCCTATCCGTGCGAAACTGAGCGTCGTCCTTGGTCGTACACAGCGATAGGTAGACTGTGCCGCAAGACACACTGAACTGATAGACTGTGCCGCAATGCACTGAACGCTCGGCGACCAATAATGCGCAACTGTTTTGTCTGCGCAACATCTATCTGACAATGATCAATTCACTATAAGGCCAGCAAACTTATTCTGAGCTTTGACATGTACATGTTACGGGTCATATGCTAACTTGGGCAGTATGCAAACTGCCCGGGCAGTAGGCATACTACCCAACAGCCCGGGCAGTATGCATACCGCCCGGGTAGTATGCATACTACCCGACCCCTTGGGCAGTATGCATACCGTCCGGGCAGTATGCATACCTCCCGGGTAGTATGCAATAAATGCATACCACCCACCTTTCTTCTCACGGGCAAGATGTTTACTCGGGCAGTATGTTGACTACGCTTCGTGAGGCTTGTTAATGCAATAACTCGCGTATATATGTGAATGACAAACGTTTTAACCTTCCGGGTGGTGGGGGGGGGGGGCATTTTTGTCCCCCCTTAGTTTTTTTCGATATACCTCCAGAATTCCGCTGCGCCGATTGCAACCAAACTTTCAGTACCTTCCCGGGATCGTAGCTATTATACATTGTGACCAAAATTTTCCAAAGGCTATGATAGGTTGGCCGCTAATGACGTCGGAGTGACGTCATTTCTGCCATTTTCGACCCAAAAAAGGTTTCGCGGGAAGAGCTGTCAGGCCTACAGCTTTATAGATACAGAAAGTGTTTAACCCGCGCCCCAGTGGCGGTCTCGGCCAACTTCGCCCTAGTGGGGGGGGGGAGGGGGGGGCATATGTTACCACCCACCTCTAACTCAAAAACTAAGAGGGCTAGAAAGACGCGGTAAAAAGCAGTCGATAGCTCTTAACCCGCGAGTTGCTGGGGGGGGGGGGCGTTAAACGCCCCCACTTTTTTCGCCGGGCCATAGCATAAAAACGGCGCGCCGCAGGCGCGCCAAGTTTTGAGTATCTGTAGGGCATTGATTGAAGCTTATTGTGACAAAGTTTCAAAAAAATCGGCCGGAAAATTTTTGAGATATCGAGGTTTTAGTGACGTCATGATTTCTGAGTTTTCGACCAAAAACGGCATATGTTCAAAAAATCATATAAAATCACAGAATAGACATACAGACATGCCGTAAACGTCATTAGACTGCCAATACCATGAACAATCAAATGGCTATCTTCGATTATTGATTATCGTTCCGCATTTTCCAAAATCTTGAACTGAATCTTGGCAATTTCTCGTGACTACTTCACGACCATGATACATGCATTTCTTAAATTGAACTTTTTTAGCCAAACACGTACACATATGATAAAATGAATGCCACCAGCATGTTCTACGCCCAAAATTACCCATAAAACATGTGTCACAGGCTGCGAATATCAGTTTTGATTTTCGGGGATATGTGCCTACTGCCTGCCCGGTTGACCTGACCTTGACCCTGACCTATGCTTGACTGACCCATACATGGAGCTGACACTCTTGTAGGCCTTATATGATGGATTGTGCACCGTTTTGACAGAGTTTATGACGAGAGGCGCCCATTGCGAAGTCCTGAAGTCTATGCTACTGAAAGGTCAGGTCAAACACCGATTTCAGGTGTTTGACCTGACCTTGACCCGACCTGTGACCTCAAAATTCAACTTTAAAGTACTCATCTGAAGCGTCTCGTCGCGTTCTTTCGTTTGCCGCCTCGTGCGTTTCGCTGCGCCTATTGGTTCTCGAGTTATCGGCTGGGGTCGTTTAACGCCCCCCCCCCCCCCAGCAAACGGTGGGTGGCGAAATACCCCAGCAACTGCCGGGTTAATGCGTATGTTTGAAAGTATTTCGGTCATTTTTCACCTTAGAGCAATATTGGGGTCACCAGAGGTCATCAAAGGTCAAAATATGCCAATTGTCATTATATTTTTCAGAAAACATGCCGCTATCTCATGAACTATGGTAGCTAGAAAACGCATGGAAGAGCAATCGATAGCTTTTGAACTCTTCTTTTGAAAAGGTCATTATCAATATTGACCTCAGGTCAACGGTTTAGCCTCCAGAGGGCAAAAACTCCAAAAATAGCTGTTTTTACTAAAAGTGTTTTTCGACAATTACTTTCGACTACAAAAAGCCACAACATTTCTATTGCCAGAATCGTGTTCCCCTCGCCGAGACGCGTCGAATGAACTATAATTTGACCTTGAAAGGTCAACTTGAAAATTTGACCTCAGGTCAAGGTCATGACCTTACCGGAAAAGGTCATGTTGCATAACAGTCGATGCGTCTCAACAAGACAAACACAATGAGACCATCCCCAGCGTTCTATCTCTTTCCAATCGCGAGTTATTGGCAAACAACTGTTTGTAGCCTCAAGTGACCTCGGATGACCTGTCTAGAGGCTATCAGCAAAAATGACACCTTGGTCATCACGAGTGGACTAAATCATTGTGATTCTGAAATATTTGGACTGTTCCGATGCGTACACACGGATCTAGAGGCATTTTCATTTTTTCTCCATTGACTTGCAATGGAAAGGTCACGCCACTGACCTCACCTTAGGTCACTGATATAAAAAATCCGAGATATACAAATTGTAGGCGCCCATAACAGCATGCAATCCACTAAGTTTGAAACCTTTCTGACAAACACTGTAGGCTGGACATGATTGGAAACTTTTTTTTAGGCTTGGTCAGTTAACTTGACCTGGTGACCTGACCTGACATGACCTGGGGTCAAAAATTTTACACATTATCCAAAATTGATGTACCAAAAGCTACCCCAGGCGGCGCGGCGCTTCGCGCCGCGGTTTTTTATTCACACGCAAAAAACGCGACAGGGTGGTAACATATGCCCCCCCCCCCCACTGGGGCGAAGGTTAAGAATAGGTATAAAAGGTGTCGAATTAGAGGGCTACAAAACTGCTATTTCGGATTTTTGAACTTTTAGATTTTGACCCCCCAAAATCAAAAAAGTAATTTTCTTAATATAATAGGCAAGAAATCCAAAAAAGTTGTTTTCTGAATTTCGAACAAAAACGGAAAATATGTGATAGTCCCTACCGCCTTCTATCCACATACCAAATTTGATATTGATTCCTCTTTTTTGGCAAAGTTATAGCGAAAAAAGAACTGTTCAAAGTTGATGACGTCAAATTTTGTCGTCGTCGTTTCATTTTATTCAGTTCACGCTTCACAATGACAATGACTTGTTGGCCACTGGTTATTCAACAATGGATTTGGGAAAAAGTAATTTCAACACTTTATTCCAATCCTCATTCCATCTTATGATCGATCAATCACGTTGGACGACAAAAATTCTTCTCGGTCGATCTATGTATTGTTATCTAGAGAGCCATTTATATTCTTAATGTGGACATGGATTACACAACTTTAAGTCGGACAGCGGGCAGTATGCAAACTGCCCAAGCTTTTGGGCGGTATGCATACTGCCCAAGGGGTCGGGTAGTATGCATACTACCCGGGCGGTATGCATACTGCCCGGGCTGTTGGGTAGTATGCATACTGCCCGGGTAGTTTGCATACTGCCCAAGTTAGCATATGACCCGTAACATACATAACCCCGGGGGAAATATTCACGGTTTTTATTCTGAAAATTTGCTAGTTGTTATCAAACTGCATACATTGAAGGAGATAGACTAGTCTACCTTGACTGACTCGTGTGTCCCCATGTGACCCGACCTGTGTGACCCATGTGACCCCATGTGACCCCGTGTGACTGGCGTGGTCCTCAGGACGGCGTCCGTAAGCTGCTGCAGCATGCCGACAAGATGGCCCGCCACCGCGTGCCCGTGGAGCTGATGAAGCGAGCGCTGGACGCCCAGACCTCCGCCCAGGTGGATAAGTGCATCCGGGATCTCGAAGGTAAATAGGTAAATACTGCTCCCTCGCATAGATGTGCCGTGCTTAATTGATGCACCTAGTACCAACAACAACACTTCGTGGATTGGAACAACACCCCCCGTCTCGCACCCTTTCGCACGTAGAGAATCGTATTTCAGTCGCTTTCACCCACATGTTTGCGGCAGAAACGGCACATAAAGATAACTCGGGCAAGCGCGCACCTATCGTGGCAAATCTGCTAAGTAAGTGTTACTCTTACATTACCTCCTAAGAATATGAGAATTCGAACAAGCAGAACGAGAACGTCCTGACTATCCGAATGCTATGATCGAAAAAAAAGTCAACCAGCAACCTACATCCCGAGCGTTGAAGCAGTTGGTATGTGCTGTTTATTCTGGCTCACCTTTCATAGTGGCATTGAACTCTGTAAGCGTGTTGATCGGGAACAAATGAAGAAACATCTCGGTATATCCCATTGAAACGCCGATCAAGTAAATAGATTTAAGCAGCAAAATGTTTTCCACTGAAGGTAAATCAATGCTTGAACTTTATTGACTGGCTTCTTAAAGCTCGTCTCTTATCTCTCCCTTTCTCTCTTTCTCTCTCTCTCTCTCTCTCTCTCTCTCTCTCTCTCTCTCTCTCTCTCTCTCTCTCTCTCTCTCTCTCTCTCTCTCTCTCTCTCTCTCTCTCTCTCTCTCTCTCTCTCTCTCGCCCCTGCCCCTGGTTCTAACCTCTACCACCCGTCTCTTCAGATGACCGCGATGACGATGACAGTGGCCGTGGCAGCCGGTCCAGCAATGGCTCCAGCAGCTCCATCTGCACAGTCATGTAGCAACGTTCCCGGCCTCTGCAAACCATCCCGACCATACCCTACGCGACCGGCGCCATCATACCAAACCCGACCGGTGCCGGCCTCTCTGAGGTGACCTTTCGGTCCAGCCGGCAGATGCCAACAGGATGTGGGCGTCTCTGAGAGAAGTGACCTCTCGCTCAATGTCGCTTTTCAAGTTGAGCTCTCTTTTGAGCGAGGTTATTCGATCGCGGACTCACTGACCGCTGGTCTAAGTGGTGTGCATAAGGACTGGGATCAGCGCACAAATTCCAGGCTAAGGAGCGCTGCTACATGACGACAGATGTGGTTTGTCTTAGAAGTGAAGGACAAGTGCCGAAGCAAGTTGCATATTTTGCACTTTATTTGGCCGATACGTGTCTTGAAAGAAACGTTACACACATGCTATTTATACTTTATTTTGTTTTATATTACACTCGTGCGTTAATGCACTCGTTTCACTCGTGCATTAACACACTCGTGCTCTAATCACTCATCTCCTGCGTTAAAACCATTTATGCACGGGAAACCGTGTATTAAAAATATTGATATATTTTGATTGATGTGCATACGCTGATTCTTTTTTTAGTGTATGTGCATTTTTTGTTGTATTCTCAAAATAGTTGTTTTGTCTCACGTCATTTTTTTTTTGTCTCGAGTGCCCGATGCACGTACCTATATTTTTATAGTAAAAATGAAAACATGTAGCAGAACAAAGAGCCATATAATGCGTTTATAAATTTAGGGCAACAGTTTCTGTGGAAGCGATGAAGAACAGCACACATGTCGCACAAGCAAGCACATGTATCTGTTATATAAGCATTCGTTAGTAATGGCACAGCACTGGGGTATGGATAAAACGCTATCAGATTCTTAGACGAAGACGGCATCTCAATCTAGAAGATGCTCTTTTCGAATTACACATCAGTTCATTGTGTCACGGGCCTGAAAACAGCCGGCGTTTACATTACATGTTACCCGAGTGATAGCCGTAACTCAATGTACCCCTTTAATGTTCTTTGTGGCGTACCTACTTCAGTACCTACCTAAACAGACAAAACATTTATCAATGAATTTCGTAAATACCAATATCCATGCTAAGGCCAATTAACATTTGTTCTGTGGGCTGTATCCTCGTAATATATTTGGATCTAAGTACGTTTTAACATGGAGTGAGAAGCATGTGCACAATTTCAGGACCATGCATTGGACATAAGATATAATATATCATCTTACACGGTCCAAGTGCCCTTTCAGACGCGCCATTGCTTTGAATAGTGCTCCTGCTGGAGCCTTAAACTCGCTGTGTTAGATTCGATAAGGTGTTTTCCTGTATCGTTAGGCTGGTGTTTCGTGTCAATTGTAACCTGTGATATATTCATCCACTAAAAAGAGAACAGTGCCTTAGATCTCAACGACGTCTCTCTTTTGCTCTCTCTTTGTTTATCGTCTGTTGTGGTCACATCTATAAATAAAACAATCTGTGTTTGAGAAATATATCAAATGATTACATATTGTTTGAGTAAGATGGAGCCGAATTCCCAAACATGTTCAACACGCATAAAATATTATGGACACAACCTATGAGGTGCGGTTCTCGCGAGATTAAGCGGCAAGTTTTGCACTTTTACATTTCCGGTTATATCTCAGAAACTAATCGATCTACGATGAAGCCGTTTTACACGATCATGACCGTCTTGTGAACCAACAAGTCGATCGCATCTTCAACACTTAAAAGCTTAAGACGACGAAGATATAGCCTGAAGTACACTAAATTTTCTAGGTGCAAAACCTACCGTTAAAACCCGCGAGACCCGTACCTATATTTTAAGCTATTAGGTATATTTAATTACTTCATGACCAAGCCAATTATTGTCTAATTTTATTTGACGTCAAATGCTTATTTCTCCCGATATTTGTATTCGGCGATCATGATTTGTAAGGTATTCACAACCAAACTAAAAAAAAACTATGTTAATCGACTAGCGAAGGAGGTGCCAGTATAAAGGTAACAGCTCAGCTGGTAGCAAATAACATTTTTATGCTCTAATCAGGAGCAATATTGAGAAGCCATCAGCCCCGAAGCTGTTCAGTGTTCACTGCTGAGACATGTGTATTATCGAAAAAGCGCGGGAGCACCTGACAGCCGGCAGCAGCTAGTTACGCATAGCTCGTGTAGGAAGAAACAGCATCGCCAACATTGCCCAGGGAATGAGCTGCGTTAACAATACCGGCACCGGACACAGCAGCATTGAAGTCAGAGGCGCCGTTGTAAGAAACCGGGCCATTGAGAGGCCTGGAGCCGTACGAGGGGGCTGCGTTAATGGAAGGGGCTGCGTTATAGGATGATGCTGCGTTAATGGAAGGGGCTGTGTTATAGGAGGATGCTGCGTTATGCGAAGGCGCAGCGCTGTACGAAGGCGCTGCGTTAAAGGAAGGTGCTGCGTTGTAACCAGAAGCACCACTATGGGAGGAGGCGGGGCGACCACCGGAAGAAACAGAGTTGTATGAAGGAGCTGTGCTGTATCCAGCTGCCGTGTTGGTGGCCGCCCCAGCGCCGTAGCCCTGGCCCGGGCGGTCCTTGGGGTACTGGGCCTCGCCCTCGTAGGTGACCTCGGCGTTGAAGCCGTTGTAGTGGTCGGCGACGTAGTTGACGTGCTGGATGCGGCCGTCGGGCAGCGCCACGCTGTAGCGGCCCTGGGTGCTGTGGCCGTCGCCGGCCTCCTGCTGCGCAAAGTTGGCGCCCGAGTACGGGTCGCTGACCGAGTACTCGAAGGCGTACGGGTGCTCCTGCTGGTCGTACCCCGTCTGCTTCGGCTGGACGGGCCGCTGGCGGGGGCCGGTCCGAGACGCCGCGGGAGCGGGGGAGTACGAGGCCGCGGCCACCGCCATCACCGCTGCCAGCAGGAACACCTGAGAACGCAAAGAGGCAGTACGATAATGACAGGCTCCTTCATGATTGGTCACTTGTCAATAATCGTTCATGTTGAATAGAAAATTGAAGGATTTTATGCAAGAAGTAATGCAATATGAATACCAAATGCGATCACAATAACTGGCAACTGCAGGATATTGACATGATTCTCGGTGCAGGAAACTACAAAGTAAGCTATTTCACTAAAACTACGATAAAAGCGAGCAGCTGAAGTCTCTATCACTTGCAGCATATAGTTACCTTCATAGCTATTGTCTTTGGAGGCTGTGGACCACACAACTGACGCCTACAGTCACGCCGATCTGACAATATATAGGTGTTCGTTTCACTGACGGTGGCTTCGTTTGCACGACGTCACGCTGTGTGCGCAAACGGTGCTTAGCTCGTTTCGTCACATCTCACACATGTACTTACCTACTTCCAAGATATCAGACCGGGAGGGGTGCGATATAATGCTACATAAATGCACGAAAAAGACTAGGTCAAGCTTCTAGTTTCACTTTCATGCGTACATACACAAAGGAACCTAACTACCTTATACACGAGAAACACCAACGAACATTTATAATTGATTCGAGCCTCAGAGAAAGGGTAAACAATCCGGTCTTACTCGGCCAGGTGAAAAAAACGAGCGTCCAGAGCAAAGGTCCCGAGCCGGTCCCGTAGCTCAGTTGGTAGAGCGTTGGACTCCGCGTGATGAGAGCACGCGTTCTCGGTTATAACAGTCCGGGTTCGAAGCGCGACGGGCGCTTGACATTTATGGGCCTCCTGACAGGTATGGTTGCGGTTGGTAGCAGGCCATAGCCAGGCGAAGTCAGCGAGGGGACCGGCCGTGCGTGGCTATGTGCGCACGTTAAGCTTTGAACTCTAAATTCTGCCATAGAACTGGAATTGCGCGATCGGAGGGTAGAGGGCAGGATCACCGCAACAAGCTTCGCTTAGCGGTGGCTCTGTCCTTGTGAATCCTTCCTATCAAAAGGTTCGGACTAAATTTATAAAAAAAGATATTCGTGTGTCATGTTATTCTTAATTGTTGTTGTCCGTTAAGGTGAATGTATCTGCGCAAAGGCATCGAGAGTATCTTCTCAATGTCGTTATGCGACTTTCTAAAATAAGGACTAGGGTCCGAGAAATACGTTTGTGATGCTCCAATCTTAGTAATACATAGGTACACACTTGACATAGTCTATATAAACATTCACACTAATACTTTACTGCTCAGTAGCCTTGTGTTGCACCGGCGATAGCCCAGTGCATATATCTGTATCGATCGATGCATCCGCCCCACTGGCCGACAGCTGGTGCGGCATTAACGGCTCGGTGGTGCTCAATGTGGCGCAATATATCCGAATTTGCAGCGACAGCGCTGGATGTCACTGTAGAGCAGGGAGGAAACTTATTTGGCCTTGGGTGAAAACAGATCGTGCATATTTGACCACGATTTTAGCTAGAATAGGATGCTTCAAAGGGGCGATTTAACCCGCGCCGTGTTGGGGCGGGGGGGGGGGGCATTTTCACGCCCTCTCAGATTTTTCGCGAATAAACCAAAACGACACCTGTTCATACATCTTTTCCGCACATGTTGTGAAATTTTCAGATCCGGGTCGTTCAAGGTCAGGTCACCAGGTCACGTCAAGTGACCTTAGGTACCTAAAAAAATCCACTGTTTGCTGTACTTAGCTACATCGACTGAGGAATCGCTTTGAAACTTTCAGCGATCGATAAGGGTTACAGTACCTATGTATATGATATATATCTTCGAATTTCGATATCTCTGCCCTAAGGTCAGATCAATTTGCGACCTCTCCGTTAAAAGTCGATGGAAGAAAATTGAAATGCGCCTCTTTTGGATAAATGTCGTTCTAAACACTATAGGTGATAGCAGCATATAGGTGAACATGACAGAATGAATCAGAAAAATGTACCTACCCGTAACCCTTTTAGTACCTCTGAGGTCATCTCAGGTCATCCAAGGTCCCAAGCACTGTTTGACCATAACTTTTGAGACGTGCTAGAGCGCTGAAAACACCGCAAATGTGTTCAGCTCGACGATAAGGACCGACTGATATGAAGCATGATCCTTTCCGGTCAGGTCATGTCATTGACCTGAGGTCAATTTTTCAAAATGGCCTTCTAAAGGGACCCTCCCACCTTCAAAAAAGTTAATGAATTGGCATGAAAGTGATGTCCCTTGGTTCAGAAAGAGCGAAAACGAATATCTACCAAATTTCACCGAAAAATATTCACTGGTTTTCAAGATATTAGGCTTTTACTTTTGTTTACTTTTTGGGATCTACCCTGTTACTAGCGACTTTATTTGGAAGCAATAATTTGGCAGCCTTAAAGTGCGACAGACGTTGCGCGCAAAGCAGCGTATACCACCACGTGTTAACGATGGTTTTAGTCTAAGATTTAAAAATCGTTAGATCTCCGCTGACGTCACAAATTCTAAGGGGGCATTCCAATGCATTAGCCCCTTAGAATCCGAAAACTGCAAGTTTGAAATTCCATATCTTCGAATTAAAGCATTTTTCGATGTTGTGAGTGCCCAAACCGGTATTTGCAGGCCATGGCCACCAATTTGGCTATCTCAACTCAAAACTAATGTTAAGGTGGGAGTGTCCCTTTAAGATCAAATGATAGTTCATGCGACGCGTCTCGACGAGGGGAACACGATGCTGGCAAAATTAATGTCGTGACTCCCTTGAGTCAAGAGTAATAAGAGAAAAAACATTTTTGCCCCGTAAAACTGCTATTTCTAGTTTTTTTTTCATTTCGATGCTCAGTCATTGACCTGAAGTCAAATCAGAGGACGTTTCATGAATTACACGTAATTATTGAATCTACGTTTCCAATAGAGTGTTTATATCGTATAACAAAATTTCATCTTTATTCTACCCATCATTTTCTATTTAAAGCTACAGCTTGATATTGATATTTTGTTGATGTGTTGGTAGCTCTATTGGTTCCCGAGCTATGCGTCGGTGATTCGAAAATAAATTGTTAAAATAGACAAATGTTGACCTTTTATGACCTTTGGTGAGCTGACTTTTGACCTGACCTAAACATGACGGATTTATTTTCTTCATTATTTTTCACGCTCTTTCGATTGCCGCCTACTGCGTGTGGCTACGTGGCCCAGGAGCCGAGTTAGACGGAGGGGGCGTGAAAACGCCTCCCCCCAGCACACCACAGAAAACTCAGATCACCAGCACGGCACGATTAAAGGGGTGGTTTCAAATTTTTTTAGTGCACTTTATGTCATTGCTGCTTATGTTATTATTTTGTTTTAAGGTTAAAAGCATCATTCAACTAGCATTTATAATTACAATGAAAGAAAGGCACAGTGTGTACTGTGTCCAATGAGATGTTATCATGTTGAAAGCACTAGACCATGCAGTAACATCCTATTGTTATCTGTGACCCACATTGAATCTGATTATCACATAATCTTCCGTTTCTTGCGGCAATATCACTATCATTGCAGGTTATCTGACGAATGTCGTACGTTATCTCCAAACAGCAACTGTTCGGAATGGCCGAAGAGTGCCCGGCTGGCTGGAGAAGCTTGCATAAGTATTTCCACAGACTAGATATGAACCAGAGCAGCTCGTCACGGGTGACTGCCGACCAAGTTTGCATTGTCGGTGCTCATACAGGCCGCTCAAAGGCCATGACGACGATGCAAGAGAAAGTGTGCCTGCCTATATAACGCATTTTGCTGGTCCAAGGGATATCAGTAGGTACTACTGAATCCAACAACGATGAAGGTAGGAAGAAGTTTTGGTTTGATATAAGTGCTACGCATTAACGTCATTAATTCGTGATATCTGAGACGGTGATGCGCTATTCCCTGCAAACCAGAGCCACTTGATTTTTAGGTATGATGAGGCACAAACACGCGAATGAATATGGTAAGCATCGCTTCTCAGTTCCAGCATCTGTCTGCGTTCCCAGGTGTTCCTGCTGTTTGTTGTGGTGGCGGTGGCCGCGGCCTCGTACTCCCCCGTTCCCGCGGCGTCTCAGACCGGCCCCAGCCAGCGGCCCGTCCAGCCAAAGCAGACGGGGTACGACCAGCAGGAGCACCCGTACGCCTTCGAGTACTCGGTCAGCGACCCGTACTCGGGCGCCAACTTTGCGCAGCAGGAGGCCGGCGACGGCCACAGCACCCAGGGCCGCTACAGCGTGGCGCTGCCCGACGGCCGCATCCAGCACGTCAACTACGTCGCCGACCACTACAACGGCTTCAACGCCGAGGTCACTTACGAGGGCGAGGCCCAGTACCCCAAGGACCGCCGGGGCCAGGGCTACGGCGCTGGGGCGGCCACCAACACGGCAGCTGGATACAACGCGGTCCCGTCGCGCAACTTAGCTTCTACGTATAATGCAGCTCCGTCGTATAACGCAGCTCCCTCGTACGGCTCCGTCCCATCCAACGCCGCCGCACCCTCCTACGGCACTCGGTCGAACTCTAACCCCTCGCTGTCTTACGGTGTTGACTCGTCCAACGGGGCTTCTTATTCTGCCAATGCGGCTGATTCATTTAACACCATCAGCGCATATAACTAATCCTCGCCAAAACGATGGCTCTGTTTACGGCACCGCTCCTGTAGCTGCAATATTTTGCTGAATGCAGTCCATCAATAAGCCACGGGTTACTTACCAGCACATCATCCGTGCTGCGTTCTGTTGTGTTTTGCAGTGCCAGCGTGTGACATGCTGTGTGTGCAGGTTAAATAAAAGCGTTGTCATCGATCAGCGTTGTCATCGATATGATTACGCTGCTGGTTTGGTATCTTGCTGTTCTTGTAAACGTCTATGTATGTAATTTTCTTTTTATATAAAAGTCATGCTGCTGTATTTCAGTTATCCCCAATCAGGCAACAGTTTTCTTGGATCGTCAAATGCTATTCCTTGTGTGTGTTGAACGATACCAGTTGGCTTGGCAATCGACTCAAATGGCTACTGTCGC